GATAACTTCATTTTATTTCCTTATAATAGCTATTAATTTTATTAAGCTAAACTGTTTGCTAATTTATTTGCTGCTATAATATACTATGTTTTTTTTCTTAATAAAAGGTGGGCCTGATTATTACAGAGAAGATTTGCCTCTTGTGCTTCTGACCAGGCCATTTTACTTGTACAATGTTTACTAGAGGAGAAGAAAGAGAGAAAATTTGGTAAATAAAAATAAACAAAACAAAAAAAAAAATACAATGAGTGCATTCTCCATTTATCCTCCTTTTCTGTATCTCATTGCCACAGATCTCTCTCACACAAATAGGCACCAGTAAATAAGAGTATCAGACAAACATTTGATTAACAAATGTTTAAAAAAAACCTTAAGAACTTAATACCAACCTACTTTTAATATAGTGAAAACAAGTATCTATTAAAATAAGAAGTATAAAGTTTACTTTGTTTTTACTTTGATTGTGGAGTGGCTCAGCATTCAGGACATTAATGACAATGATGCTTAAAAACTCAATACAACTCATACAGAATTAACAAGTTCGCCATTTTGTGTCTCTATAGTGAATACCAAGACAATCAACCTGACACACAGCAAATAAACCAGTGTAATATTAAAAGCTCACCAAATATATTAATATTTTTAAGTGGAGAAACAACTATTTTCTCCAATATAGCACAAACAGTAAATGCAAAGTAATCTATTGCTGTAAAGGGAGCCCGAACTTTAGACATGCAAAGACAAAGCATGAACAGATATCTCTCTGCAACTCTCACATGGTCGCCCACTAAAGGGCAGGGCTGTGCCTGGTCAGTACTTGGATAGGAGACCACATGGGAAAGCTAGGTTCTGCCGGAGTGTTGTTAGTGAGGTCAGCATGGGGCATTTAATCTGCGGTCTGTGTGGGTCCTAACGCCCCGGCATATTGATGGGCCTATACTGCTCAGTGAGCTCTGTTATTTAGATGAGACGTTAAATCAAGGTCCTGACTCTCTGTAGTCATTAAAAATTGCAGGATGTCCTTCGAAAAAGAGTAGGGTTTAACTCTTGCATTCTGGACAAATTTTCCCACTAGCCTCTGTACTGTACTGTTATTTAATTATTATAAACAAAGCATCATTTAGTACCATCACGTTAATTGTCAGTCACCACAAACGTATTCGCTCATGCAATATGTCTGATAATTAGTGTTGGTGAAAGTTACTTTAGAAAGTGATGCCGTACAATATTGAGTTACTCCCCCAAAAAAGTAACTAGTTGCAATACTTAGTTACTTTTTATGGCGCGTAATTTGCATACCTGCCAACACTCCCATATTTCCCGGGAGTCTTCCGTATTTCAGACCCATCTCTCGTTTTGTTCTGTCTCCTGGAAAATTTTAACCCATCTTCCCACTCTTCAGTTCGCGAACACAACCATCACCCCAGATCCCAAAGCGCAAGTGTTTCAAAACACCCAATCACGTGACTAAGGTAATTCAAAACACTCAGGTCAGCAATTTAATTTAATATGTACAACAAGAAACAAAAAGGAGCTTTGATACTCTGGGGAAGAATGTTTGCATCAATTACATCAGGTTTCCACTTTTTGTATGTGCTAGAATGTTAAAATGGCCCTCCTATGAGTTTTCAGTCACTGATATGCCCCCCGCAGAGTTTAAGACCCCTGTTTTAGAGCCACAACCCATAAGCCTCGGAAGCTTTAAAGTAATATTCTGCATAAGGAAGAGATGTGAGAGCAGAAGGTGGAGCTACTGAAGTCATTTCCTGCACAGTTAGTAAGAGGAACTACAAGTTCAGACAGACTGAGCTCTACTGATGTGAACATCAGCGGTCCAAGCTACACACTAAAATTGGCAAACAATTCAGATGAGTAATATTAATTATTTATATTTTTAATGAGTAATGCTAATAAAGCAATGTAAAATGCAAATATCACAATGACCAGAAACATAAAATGATTCGAATAAATGTTTCAAATTGCATCTAATTTATGCATGGAACTAGATTCAGATCAGAATTGTTTGGCCATGCGTTAATAACATACTCTGTAGCATGTGTTGTTTGCATTTGAATGTTTGTGCGTCAATGTCTAGAAGTTTTCCAACCACAAGATAGACCCCTTTACATGCAATCAAAACCACAAGGTCTGCTAAGCAATATTCTCACGACACAATTCCTCTTTTGAACAAAAGCCCCTCCTCCTACACAACACACTGCCATCAATGTAACAGAAATGAGGCAAAATTACGTTATCAATGCAGTTTGTAAAACTGAACACTTTGTACTCTGATAGCATTAAGTTAAACATTACAGATAAATTATAAATTAAACTTGTTAAACTTGTAGAAGGCATTTTAATTTCACAGGCAATAGTAATTGTAAATATCATTAAATTGAACAAAGCAGTTGTAGCTAGGCAGAATTTGATTTCATTTACGCTAACAAACCTACCTTACGTGTAGTGGAACAAAACACATGTCAGCAAGTGATTTGCTGTTTGATGTTTGCAGAGGTTTGATGCAATGAGTGCTTGTGGTTTAGTACTTGACCTACAGTATTGCTCACTTTGCAGTCTGTGTGAACGCTCACCTTTCTGTGGTCAGAAGTTTCCACAACAAGATTCAATAAAAAACATGTGAACATAAAAACTGTTACTTTCAATTTGAAAAAAGCATGACAAGTGTCTCCAAAACTCTGTAGGGCTCTGAATGTCAACATATGGCCTATTAAAACATGTTACATCAAGGCACCAAAACACAGAGTAAACTCATTACACCTTTAGAAATGATCTGCTGTTAAACACAAATTTGGGTAGCCTGCTGTTAGAGCCTAACAGTTAAATGCCTCACAGAGCCTAACAGTTAAATGTTTAATCAAAAAATGACAACCAGCTGTTAGGTTAGTCCATATTTTGCACAATTTCGGGCTAAACTGATTTTAGTGAGTACACACTGTATATAAAGTTAAATAACTACCTGTTTCAGGCAGCACTGTGGCTCAGTGGTTAACACTATCACCTCACAGAAAGATGGTCGCTGGTTTGAGTCCTGGCTGGGCCAGTTGGCATTTCTTGGATATATGCATTCCCTGTGTTCGTGTGGGTTTACTCTGGCTGCTCTGGTTTCCCCACAGTCGAAAGACATGCACTTTAGGTGAATTAAAACATATGCTGGAATAGTTAGTGGTTCATTCCACTGTGGTCACCTTTGAAATAGAAACTAAACTGAAGGAAAATGAATGAATGAACTACCAACTGGGCTAACAACTTCCATATATCAACAAATAATGCCAAAATGAATCTTTGATTTTACTAAAATGAATATTTTCCGGTTTGAATCAACTACCTGCTTATCCACATGTTGTGTTTTCCTTTTATTGATGTATTATTGTTATTCTTTTGCTTAATGTACCACAGTCAAATGGAACTTCTTAATAATACAATACTGAAAACAACAACAACAAAAACATATACATATAAATGTGTGGTGAAAAGACTGCGCTGTAAAAAAAAAAAAACTCACAAAAATAAAATTTTATTAAAAAAATGTAAATAAACAAAAAAGTTCAAATAAGATTGATTGAAAATAATTCTAAACTTAAAAAATAAAAAATAAATTTGGGGGCTGAAAATATGTATTATAAGAATATGCTAGTTCTAGATAATGTTTGGGCTTAATGTTCTTAACTTTTTAACATTCGTTCATTCATTTTCTTTCAGCTTTTTCCTTATTTATAAGATGTTGCCACAGCAGAATGAATCACCAACTACTCCAGCATATGTATTACGCAGTAGATGCCCTTCCAGCCACAACCAATTATTGGGAAACACCCATACACTCTGGCACTCATACACTATGGCCAATTTGTTTTAACCAATTCACCTAGCACCTGGAGAAAACCCACGCGAACGCGGGAAGAACTTGCAAACTCCACACAGAAATACTAACTGGCTCAGCCAGGACTCGGACAGCGACCTCCTTGCTGAGAGGTGACAGTGCTAACCACTTAGCCACCGTGCCACCCATTTTTAAACAGAAGCATTTAATATTATTTATTTTAATATTGGGCTTGGAAATGAGCAGGTTACATATGTAAGTGATGACAATATACACGTCTTTACTGTATATGCATAGATACATATTTATTTACATATTTATTTTATATATGCTGAATTGTCAGGTATTTTATATTTATATATAAAAGTATTTGCTGCAATAATTCGATCTCAGTATTGCTGTGCATGAAAATAAATAAACCACAAACCTCAAATATTAAAATAGTAATGAATACTGCAATATTTCAAAATAAATAAGTAAACAAACAAATACGAATTTCATCATGCCAGTCTCCTTTTAAACATCTTCATGATTAGAATCTGCCACATTAACTCGGTTTCAATTTTAGCAGATAAGATTGTTTACAACTATATAGTATATAAACTCAGCTGACCTGATTCAGCACCATGGACAAGGACAAGCTTAACAGTGCAGCAGTTCAGCTGCTTCCTGTGTAAAAGTAAACGAAGCAATGAAACATTTTACAAAAACAACTCTGTTTAAGCTGTGCTCAGCCTACACAGCCTGTAACCCATGTAAACAGGTCAATCAACACCCCCTCACATACAGTAGAGCTGCTGTGGTTTTAAACACGGGCTAAAGTGCACATTTGCCCTCTTCCCCAAGATCATGCACATTTATCTCCAGATTTACATGTGTAAAAAGCATAAGAAAAGTCAAATAGGGCGATAAAATAGTGTCTAAGTGGCAATTGGATTTTTGTTTAGATTTTAAGTAACATAATTAATTGATGTTTAAATATTGACGTTCATCAGAAAAAAAAATAAACAAAAAACATCTATTTCCTCAGTGAGAGATGCACTTTACACCCAATTCTGTAACAGCCAATGAAATTTGACTTTGTCATGCAAGAATGTTTGAAAACCACCAATCAGAGTGAGGTTGAGCTTCTTACTGTGCATTGTGCAGCTTATCGCCTCTTATTCTTCACTTGCAAATCAAAGCGACATGAGCACAGTTTTATTCCTCACCTTTGTGTGTAAGTATTATTGATAGATTTTCGTAATTAACGGTTAATCTTATTTATTATTGTATCTATTTTAACTTTTGCAAAGCAACTAAGATCAATGATTTATGTTTGTATTTGTTGCTTTTCAATCTTAGGTTGCATCGGGGCACACATTATTAAGCAGCCAAAACGCTTCCAGACCGCCAAACTTGGTGATGATGTCATTATTGAATGCTACTTACCTAATAAAGATTATAATCATATGGTTTGGTACAAGCAGGAGATTGGAAACCAACTTAAAGCCATTTCAAAAAGTTACATTTACATGAACAATGTTGAATTTGTAGGTGAATTTAACAATGGTCTCTTTAATGTGACAATAAGCCCAGGAATTTATCATTTACACATTTCCTCGACAAAAAAGCAAGATGTTGCGACATACTTTTGTGGAACGATATCTTTGGGTCAACTGACTTTTGGACCAGGAACATTTTTAATGCTTGAAGGTATGTTTTGACTTTTTTAGGTGATACTAATATAATGATAATCAAAGTCCGCTGTGCTCATTTGTTGTGCTTTTGCTTTAAAGAAGAACACAGCACATCAACAGTACATCAGGAGCCGATTTCAGAAGTTCACATTGGAGACAACATTACCTTCACGTGTAGAGTTCAGAGGGAAGATAAGAAGAAATGTGAAGCAGGACATCATGCTTTGTGGTTTAGAGAGACAGCAGAAGATCTTGAGTCTGCTCCTGGCATCATTTACAGTGCTGGAGATATGAAGAAACATGAAGAGAGATGTGAGGAGGATTCAGATTCACAGAGCTGTATTTACACATTAACAAAGAGGAGTCTCAGTCTTTCTGATGCTGGAGTTTATTACTGCGCTGTACATGGATGTGACAAGATCATGTTTGGAAATGGGACTCGTTTGGAATTCAGTTCAATACACGGTAAAATTTAAAACCTTATTACATTAATTACAACATTTAGAATTTTGAATTTCAATAGTTTTTAAGTAATTACATTGTTTTGAAGGTACTGTGATATCACATTATGACAAAATACTGTAAATAATATGAAATGTTAAAAAAAAATGTTTGTTAACTTTTCAGTATGCAGTTTATACTGGAAAGTTAACATAGTCGACATTTAAAGTGAAGGCAACATTGAAGAAAGGCAATATTTGAAGTGGATCAAAACCTTCATAAAGATGTTGAACAACACCCCTTTTTGTCTTAGTACAACTTTTTTAAAAACGTTTTTGATTAAATTTTGATTTTATATATGTATGTATGTATACTGCGTCGCCAATATATATATATATATTAGGGATGTGCGGAGCAGCCGGTATTTGTATTTGTTGAGGGGGAAAGTATTTGTATTTGTATTCGAGTAAAATTCAAAATGGCGCAAAAATATATATTTTTTCTATTACACTTTTAATTTACGTTATAGTGAAAGTATTGTTTAATTATACCCATTATATAAATTATAGACATGCAATATTGGCTGTTGTTTTTGAACATGTGACAAGAAATGTCATTGAAAAGAAAATAACATAGAAGCCATTATCTCATCCATGGTTAAACCAACAACTAATAAAATACCATTGTGAATATTATGAACCCCACCACCACCGTTCTTGTTGAAGGACACTGACTAGACAGAATAAAAACACTTAAAAAAACTGTTCTTCTTCTGAAAGAACTTCTTTCCAATGCACAGAATTCCAAAAACTAATATTAACTAAATAAATCTAAATAAAACCCTGCCTGGGAGATCTGGCAGAACAAAAGTATTCTATATAATACTAAAAGATACAGCCCTGCTATTGTCATCTGCCTGCCACAAAACAGACACAAAGTTTGTTTTTTTGTTTTTGTTTTTTTATGTTTGAAACTGACTTGCTGGGGCAGAATGTGGCTGTGTTGATGGTTTGGTGCTTTTGGAGGATTTAGCAGAACATAGCTGTGCTGATTGAGGGGATTGATGCTTGTGGGGGGTACACATGCAATACAGGTGAATTGGGTAAGCTAAATTGTCCCTATTGTATGTGTGTGAAAGAGAGTGTATGGATGTTTCCCAGTGCTGGGTAGCAGCTGGAAGGGCAGCCACTGCATACAACATATGCTGGATAAATTGGTGGTTCATTCCACTGTGGCAACCCCAGAGGACCAAGAAATGGCACAGCAGCCATCTTTTTCACTCTTTTTCATGGTGCCCAAATGTATTTGAGGAGTTTCAAGTTAATAAAAAGTGACGGGAAGCTATGCTAAGGTTAACTAGCCTATAGCATATATCTTGCTGTCTGCAAAAGACAGTAATTTAGACGTACCATATAACTCCTATAAGTGCATACTATTCGACACAACTGCAAAAGCATCGTTTTAACCTTTATAAACGAACGTTAACGTTACTCTGTCAACAGTCTATTGTCTAAATTACCGTGCTAACAGAGCTAACGTTGCGTAAACAGAGCACCCGGGTTGCAGACGTCAATAATGCAGCGAAATGGAATAACTCCGCTTCAACTCTGCTACAAGTTTAAAAGTGGTACTTTGGAACCCAATTAAGGTACAAAAATCTATTTAACAAAAATAGTGATGCAGTGAAGTATTTTTTTCGCTCAGCCGAGCCTTCTGTCTGTTGCTGTGGAGAAGCTTGAGACAGACACCTTTTATCTCCGCCCTCCGACTACTGACTGAGCGTCTCTCTCTCTCTCTCTCTCTCTCTCTCTCTCTCTCACTCACTCACTCACGTGGGCATGCACTGTGGTCTCATGAGGAAACGCTGCTTTTTGATATAGTGTTTTTCTTGCTCCCGAATACAAATAATTTTTCAAGTATTTGTTCGAATCAAGTATTCGTAAAAACACGCTATTCGTGCCTTTTCGAATACCGTATTCAGGTTCGGCTCCACCCTTAATATATATATATATATATATGTATATATGTATGTATATATATATATATATATATATATATATATATATATATATATATATATATAAATGATGGTTATTTTATAAAACTAATTTATACTACAAAACTATCATACCATATGCAGAGATCTTTGATTTTAAGTGGTATATTTTTTCCATATTTTTATAAAGTGCTCAGCATATGAGTACACACCATTTTAAAATGTATATTTTATATTATATTATCCATTTCTCAGTGAACATGGGTAATATATAGTGCATTTGGGAAAAACAGATTTATCCAACATGTTTATTAAAAAAAACATTTTAGTCTCATTTTTAGAAATTGATAGATAACACATTTAAATTCATGCAAAATATAGCAAAATAATTACAAACTACAATATTTCAACAAAATTTTATATACATATTTTTTGTTTCTTTAGATTTTTACTATTTTTGAAAATTTATATATTCATTCATTCATTTTATTTTATTTTCAACTTAGTTCCTTTAATAATCTGGAGTTGCCACAGTGGAATGAACCACCAACTTATCCAGCAGGTTTTTACACAGCGGATGCCCTTCCAGCCACAACCCATCTCTGGGAAACATCCACACACACTCATACTCTACAGAAAATTTAGCTTACCCAAGTCACCTGTAGCGCATGTCTTTGGACTGTGGGGGAAACCCACACAAACACAGTGAGAACAAACTCAACACAGAAACGGCAACTGATTCAACCGAGGCTCGAACCAGCAACCTTCTTGCTGTGAGGCGACAGCACTACCTACTGTGCAAATTGGCTTCAGTAGTGACTAAACTATTGTAAATTCACAAATATAAAATAGTAAAGCATCCTATAGAAAATATTAATTTAAATGAGAGATTTGTGGGGGGTGTACTCATATATGCTGAGGACTGTACATATATATGTAAACATGACAGACAACCAATTACATTTCAAAGTGTTGCATATTTTAAGCCTTGATTTTTTTTCTCCTTGCAGATGGTGATTTAACAAACCCATTGTTTCTTTTACTCATCTCATCAAACATCATTTCTATGATAATAATAATCTTCCTTGTGGCATTGCAACGTAAGTCAGATCATCTGTTATCACATTTATTATGTTTTAAACCATTTTTGATTCCCATTAGTACTTTTATTTGCAGAAGTAAAAAGTTAAGAGTCAATATATATTAGTCAATATACAATTAACAGTCAATATATATTAATATATCATAGTCAATATATAAGTTAACAGTCAACAGTTGAACTCAGTATTATTATCCCCATTTTATTTATTTATTTATTTTTTTAAGTATTTCCCAAACGATGTTTACCAGAGTAAGGAAATTTTCACAGTATGTCTGATAATATTTTTTCTTCTGGAGAAAGTCTTATTTGTTTTATTTCAGCTAAAATAAAAGCAGTTTTTAATTTTTTTAAACACCATTTTAAGGTCAAAATTATTAGCCCCTTTAAGCCATATTTTTTTTCGATAGTCTACAGAACAAAGCATCCTTATACAATAACTTGCCTAATTACCCTAACCTGTCAAGCTACTCTTACCTAGTTAAGCCTTTAAATGCCACTTTAAGCTGTATAAAAGTGTCTAAAAAATATCTAGGCAAATATTATTTACTGCCATTATAACAAAGATAAAATAAATCAGTTATTAGAAATTAGTTATTAAAAAGCTATTATGTTTAGAAATGTGTAAAATCTTCTCCTTTTCTCTTTTTTAAGTTTCATTCAGCAGATCTGCTGTTCAAGAGACATTTCAAGACACTCAGGTAAATACTCAATTTTATTGATTTATTTAAAATAATATGTATAATACATTTTATATTTCATACATTTTTAAGCAGTATAAATAGATTGAGAGAATTTATTGTCCATTATTAAAATTTAGCAGTTCATTTCAGTGTTTAAATCATTTGGAGTTTGCATGAGTTTATTTGATTTTTTCATCAGGTTGAACATGCAGATGCCCTGACCTACACATCTGTGAGTTTCAGCAGTAAGCCCTCTAGAGGTGCTAAACAAAACAGCATTTCTCAGAATAATGACGTGTATTCGCAGATCAGGTCATAAGTGGTTACTGAAAGACCTGGCTCTTTTGCCTGAGTAATCTAATAGTACAAATGCATGAAGTGTGATTAAACTGAATTGAAAATCACAGGATTGAAACAAATAAAAACGAAACTATACTGTATAAAAATATTTTGCCTCTCAAATTCTATCCTTTGCTGTGACTCCTGTTTTGGAATAATAAAAATCAGAAACACTTATGCTGTTTATTATACAAGTTTCACTTATACTTTTGACATTTTTGTTTGTAATTCATTCATTTTCTTGTCGGCTTAGTCCCTTTATTAATTCGGGGTCGCCACAGCGGAATGAACCGCCAACTCATCCAGCAAGTTTTTACGCAGCGGATGTCCTTCCAGCCGCAACCCATCTGTAGGAAACATTCACACACACACACACACACACTACGGACAATTTGGCCTACCCAGTTCACCTCATGCAAACTCCACACAGAAACGCCAACTGAGCTGAGGTTCGAACCAGCGACCTTCTTGCTGTGAGGCGACAGCACTATCTACTTCGCAACTGCATCGCCCTGTTTGTTATTCTATTTAATAATTTGATTGATATTATTCATTACAATGCAGTGCTTCTGCGACTCTGAGTCTATATACACTATGTTGTACATATGTTTATTTTTTGCAAATATGACAATTGGTCAAAATGACAAATGTTTTAATCTGTAATAAAATCAAGGATATATGTTTCTTCACTGGTATGGTGTTGGCTGAATTTAAAGAACAATCTGTACAAAGTGTATATAAGTTACATCTTTGTAGTTTAGAGGGGATCATTTTAATGTTTGCTGTCAGGATTCTGCCACTTCGGTCTTGTATATTCTTGTTTTGGAGGCAGAGTCCAGACACTAGTGCTGTCTTGTCTTGTGTGTCCACACTGTCTTGGTCAGTGTCTCTTGTCGTTGTTGTGTCTCAAATGATCTGCGCATTTGTGTCTTTTTGTGTCAGCAAAGTCTGTTTATTGTCTTTAGTTATCTTGGCTATGATTATTAAAACCAGCTCTATAATGTGACATTGTATCCAGTTGTTTGTGTCTCTCTTTGATGGAGAAATATGCCAATACTGATGCAAAAAAAAAAAAAATACTAAAGCCTGTGTAGCTGGCAAATTAAATTTATCTTTTAAAGTTCTTCAAAAGAAACCATGATGTAGTTAAAGTGTATGCGTTTCATTTGAATTCACAGATTAAAAGCTAATTTATGACATTGCTTAAGCATTTTAGACATGAATACGAAAAAACCAATGCACCACTGTGGCATTTATAGGATATGCGTGTGGGTGTTTGAGGTCTGACTTTCAGATACTAAGAACAGCTTTTAATGAGGTATCTGAAAGAGGTGAAAGGTATTTTGCAAATAGGATGGTCTTTATAAGGCACATGACTGTACCAGCCCAGTATTGTGATCTTTCTCTTGATCTTCAAACTTTTCAGATTCAGCATGTGTAAGTTAATACTCCTTGAATTATATAAAATTGTTAGTACTTCAATATTATTCATTGACATAGGCTTATTTCGGGGTTTTCCCACTACAGGTGAAATGGCTGCTGATGTTTCAAAAGTATGTGAAATAAAATGTGTCACAAGTTTATATTATATAGACAAAGATAATGAATTTATCTGTAGTATTGATAGTTCAACAGTGCCTTTAGAGTATAATTGCACATTGAGGAACCAAACTTGCGAATTTCTTCTTAAAGGTAAGCATGTTAATTTCTTTATGTTTTTAAACTTACTATTGCTTAAAATTCACATGTACATAGTTTGAAAAGCTGAGGCAGTAATAATTTGAAGATTCAACATCTATTGAAGATTCTATACGCTACTTTAATCATTACTTGTATTGTATTGATCACTGATGTGTTACTAATTTGAGTAACCAAAATGTTCCCACTTGTTTTAGAAAGTCAGATTCAAAACTGGTCTTACCATTTGGTGTTTATCGCCAACACTCTCATTTTGCTCTTGAGTGGAATAATCAACATAATTCTGTGCAAAAGACTGAGTAGAAAGAATGAGTTGCTTACAGGTAAATTTCAACCTTATAATGATGTTTCAGTGTTGTATTTTTGTAAGGCCAATTTTTATATTCATTCTTTGGTATACTTTACATTTCCCAGCACAACAAAGTGAGATTCGTCTAGTTCCTGACTCTGATACCAGTCCTTCTACAGTAAGTCTGAGACTGCTTTTTCATTATAATTTTGACTCATGACTAGGGCCAGATGGAATGTGCTGACATATTTTGCAATTTCTGCGGAGAATTTTGGTAAAAATCTGTGGATTTTTGCTGAACTATTTTGGGAATATCATAACTAAAACCTTAATATGTGAAATAAAATATAATATTTTTTAAACTTTTATTTAATGTTTAAAATGCAAATCCAATTAAATTTACTTTATTTGGTAAACAAAGAAAGTCTCTCATATAATATATTTACTAAAATACAGAAATTATTACTTTACAAACTGCATTGTACATAAATCAGATGAACATTTTCACATAAGTCAATACTGTAATAATTTTAAAACTGAATAAATATAGATTTACACACATTTACTCAAGTAAAAAACAGAATCAATGATGGGCTAAAAATCTGTGGAATTCTGCGTGTGCCGATTCCGTGTAGGCCTACTGTAGCGTTACACTACATCAAGGGTGTCTATTTTAATTTCAATTCTTAAATTGAACTGTAGTTATAAAAATGCTAACCTTATATTTTAGAATCTAAAACCAAACTTCTATTTTGACAGGCTGTTGTCGAAGATATCGAGGACCTCACCGACAACACATACGAAGAGATGAGGTCAACCATAAAGAAAAGTGAGGACAGCTCATACAAAAAGACGAAGAGATGATCCTAACCATCAAAGACTTTTTGGACAACACATACACCTAATACACAAACAGTTCATTAAACGTATTCATGTAGAAATCACCTAAATGCAATATAATTGTCGTTTAACTATGTATATACTTATATAATAGCTTATATTTTATTGTAACTTTAACTTAATTTGATTGTAATGCAATAATGTGCACCTTTTGTGAAGCTGCTTTGAAACAATGATTGTTGTAAAAAGCGCTATACAAATAAACTTGAATTGAATTGAAAGGTTGTTTGTGTTTTAGTTTTCACAAAATATACAATAATTCATTGAGTAACTTGCCATCTCCAGGATTGATTTTTATGGCCAGAATTTATAGGCACAGCCTAGGGGATTTGGGGAGGATCCTAGAGTAACTTGCCATCTCCAGGTTGGAAGAGCTGAAATTTATTGAAGTTTTGTTCACGAGGGAAACAATGGATTGAAAGATGGATTAATGTAGCAGCAGCAGTAAGAGGGTCGATTACTAGTCTGTTGAACAAAAGAAGGAGCTGAGCCGAAGGCCCAAGCTATTGTTTTACTGGTCAGTCTACGGTTCTACTCTCCCCTAGGGTCATGGCCGAAAGTACAAGATCTCGGATACAAGCGACTACAATGTTCTTTCTTCTCATACTGGCAGGTTGCACCATTAGAGATAGGGTTAGGAGCTGGAAGTGAAACCGTTGCTCCTTTATATTGAGAAAAGTCAGTTGAGGTATCACAGGCATCTGTTTTGTTGCCTCCTTGATGCCTACCTAGGGGGGATGTTCCGAGCTTGTCCGACTGGAAGGAGACCCAGAGGATGACCCAAGACACACTGGAGAGACTACGTCTCCTGGCTCGTCTGGGAACGCCCCGCAATCCACACCAGAGGTGCTGGAGGAAGTGTCCCTCAGTCTGGCCCCTGGATAAGCAGCAGACAATGATGATGATGATAATTCTTATGAAGATTTGATTATGTGTACAGACTTTTGATTTATTAATCCATAATAGCTCAATTCTGTGATAGTCCAGTAATGTATTGTCGATTTTGCAATTCCATCCATGTTTCATTTCATCCAAGACTTCTTTGCCTTTCAATTTATACATTTTATCTGTTCATGCAACCCCTGGGGATTAAATTCATGATTCAAAATTATATCTCACCTAAAAATGAAACATCTGTCCCCATTTTTCTTTGTCTCCAGCTGAAGACAGTCAAATTTTTCCCTCTTCCCTGAATATCTCTCCTAGCTGGCTCCTCTTGTATAGTCTTAATCTATCTCTGAGGCTCTCCTTGCCCTGCTATCCAAACAATAAGGATTTATGGATGTGATCAACTGGTCTCTGAACACAACTGGCACCATCTTCTCGACAAAAAGCCTAGGTTCGGGATTACCCCAATGTCCTGCAGGAATGGTTGCGGCTACATGATGGACGTGTAGGAGAAGTGGCACATCATGTGCCTGACCGATATGTCCCTGGAGGATAATGAAGATATCTGTTTATTCAGTTCTTTGATTACGGGTTTCTGCTGATGGGCTTAGGCAGAAAGCAGTCAGTGCTGCTCAAAACCCCACCAAGCTGGCCGGCTGGATTGAAACCGGTGGTGAGAAGAGTTGTTACAAACCAGACTGTGGGTAAAGACAGAAAATTGGAAAACATCCGGGTGAAACTAGCAGCTTTGCAATGAGATTTGAACAGACCTGGAAGCCAGTCACTGACATTAGATATCTGTGAAATAATCAGAAATTGACCCAAATTTGGGTTTTTTTAGCTTTCCTGCGACACTCCTGCCAGACAGCCTTGACTGAAGACAAACAACTTCAACCGGAGAACAAGATAACGAGACGCTCTGAATTTCTCCTCCCTGTTCCAAGAATGCCTGTTGAGACTCTACACCAGTGGTTACCAAACTTGTTTCTGGAGGGCCGGTGTCCTGCAGATTTTAGCTCCAACCCTAATCAAACACACCTGAACAAGCTAATCAAGGTCTTACTGTACATGGTATACTTGATACATCCAGGCAGGTGTGTTGAGGCAAGTTGGACCTAAACCCTGTAGGGACACCGGCCCTCCAGGACCAGGATTGGTGACCCCTGCTCTACAGACTTACACACACATTCATAGCTTCAGATAGA